TGCTCAAGAACTTCTTAGAGCTGCTGATCAGTATCTTCTTGATGATCTTAAGCGCCTTTGCGAATACACCATTGCTCAGGTGTGTATGTTTTACTGTGATATTTCTTCTACTGATCATATTACGGATTTACATGCTTATCTGTTCTAATTATCCGTTTTTTAAAGGATATTTCTGAGGAGAATGTTATGCTGATGTATGAACTAGCCGAGGCCTTCAATGCTACCACACCACGTGAAGCTTGCCTACTCTTCATGTTAGAGTAATTTGAAAGAATAAGTGCCAAACCTTGGTATGTGATTCCCAAAACTGTACTTTGATTGTTGAAAAGTTGATGTTTCTAAGTCGTTTGATGCTGTGAACATGCAGGCGTAGCTGTTTGATTCATCGCATCATTCCAGATTTACAGGATTTCTTCATAAGTTCACTTGTAAAGTTTCATGACCCTATGAAGGAGCACATGTGAACTTTTAATTGATACCTCGCTGTTGATTAGGTTACACCATCAATTTGTGAGGTCTTTTTTTGTGGATAAAACTGGTAGACTCGATGTTATATTTGTTTGTATAGATAGGAATTGGCAGAACAAGAAGAACTCTTTGATATAATTCTAATATGATGAAAGTTTTACATCAAAAATTCATGTCATTTACTTTTTTTTACATTATCACAGTTGATAATATAAAAAGTGGGCATTAAAAGGTGTGTGTTCTCTGTTTTTCATCACTTCTCCAACTATAAATCATCCTTCAAATCTTTCACTTTTCTTCATCTTCAATCTCTTGTTCCTTACAGCTTTCTCTCTTACAAGATAAGCTAAAATCAAAATGAACTTGGGTTAGTCATTTAGTCTCTCAGTTTCATTCACATTGTTGAAGTTAGGTTATGGGTTGTGGGACTTTTCCTTATAGTTCTTACTTTATTTTTCTAATTTAGAGGCTCAAGTTATTTTATATAATATTATTTTTTCTTTATATAAATTAAACTATATAATTTATATAAATTAAACTATATAATTTATATAAATTAAATATATTAATTTTCCTTTGCATTATTAATAATTTTTATCTAATTTATATTTAAATAGTTTTATTAAATAATTTTATATAATAGGTCTATTTATTAATATAATTATCATAATAAATATTTTATTATAACATTTAAAAACTAATCATATTAATATTTTAATTACATCATAAGTTAAAAAACTTATAATTTTATTAAAATCTTATAATTTTGTCCATGGTAATATATAAGTTAGGTAAATATTAGATCAGATCATTAACAAGTCGGATCATTTACAGGTCAGGTTGAAAACAGGTCGGGTTGAAAACAAGTCGGGTAATATCAGTTATTTACCAGGTCAATCTTGGGTTCGGTTCATATCAGTCGGATGCAGTTCGGGTTCGGGTATCATATTTTTGGTTTAATTCGGGTTCAGGTCGGATGCAGGTCGGGCTCATATCCACAATTTCCAGGTCCAAATCAGGTTCAGGTCAACATCAGTTCCGACTAGAGTTTGTTTCGGATCACTACAGTGCAAGTCAAAAACAGTTTTGACTCGAGTCGGTTTCAGTCAGTTTTACATGTCGGTCAGCTTTTTACAGCCCTAGTTCAAAGGTCTAATTATTATACTATATATATGAAAATGTGTCGAACTTAGGCATTATATATATTTCAATATTATTATATTTTTTTTCCAAAAAAGAAACAACAGTTTTAGAAGGAATTGACTTCTACAGTCTACGTACAACATTGACATTTTTGTAGATTTCGGGGAATATCCATACACTCAACTGAGTTTGGGCGTAAATTTTTATTGATATTTTTTAGTAGTTTAATGTGATTATTAGTTATTTCTATTCAAAAAAAATTTAACCTATCGATAATGTTAATATATTTTGTAGATGTAACTGTAGGAACTCAGAACAATATTTTATTTTATCACTAAAATCACTTGAATTCAATTTTTTATATATTTTGAATGCAGCTTAAACAATTATATTTGATAATTACAAACTTGGACCATCATAATTAATGAGATCTAAGTCATTTTTGAATCTTCCATTCCTTATTCAATATATTTAAATTATAATTTAGATTTTAAATTGTTATTTACAATAAGATTTTTAATTAAATCTTTAAATTATTATATCATTTCGATGATGTTATTTTGGCCATCATCCTGGATATGAATAATGAGTTCAAAGATGCATGAATCAAATTCTGAAATAGTGCACTTAGGGTTTGACGTGTTCAGAAGAAATGATTCTATTAAATTTTAATTATTTACATGTCCAATCCAATTTGTTAATGCAGCGTGTGTCTAAAATATAATCCGAGTATTTTAAGTAACATTTAATACAAAAGAAAACTGTAACACTAATGAAAGCAGTTGATTGAGACTATATTGGTAATTTGACGACTGAATTAGAATGTTTTGATGTTTAAAGACAAATTATTAATTTGGATATAGTTTGGGATCTCTAATGTAATTAACTTATGGTTGTTTTTGCATTAGGTGCTGGCAATGTGTATGATAAGAAGCAAGAAATAATATATATACTTAATATTTTTTTCCTTCACAAACAATATAAGTCGATTATTTTTTATTAATTTTATTCAAAATAAGAAATATCTCAAATTATAATGAAGATTTATAATCATAATCATAAATTAAACATATAATTAGGACAATTTCCTATAATCGTTGAAACTAGGGCTATAAATAAGACGAGACAGATTGTGAGATACTCGATATCGACTCGGTCAAAGCTCGATAAATACTCGACTCAAGCTCGACTTTAGTTCTTAACGAGCCAAAATGGGCTACTTGATGCTCGACTCAAAAAGCTCATGAGCAGCTCGACTCAAAAATGGGCTACTTGGATTTTTTTCCAAGAAAATGCAGTATAAGGTTTTCATGTATTTAAGGTTCATGTTCGAGTTTGAGTTAGAGGCTTCAATCGAGTTAAGTTTAAGATATTTTTTTTTCATTTCGAGCCTTTCGAGCTTTTACGAGCTTCAGTTCATGATTTCGAGCTCGAGTCGAGCTTGAAAATTTTAGGCTCGCAACTTTTTGAGTCAAGTCAAGCTCAGCAATACTCGAGCTCGACTCGGCTCATTCACAATCCTGATTGAAACAATCACATAAGTACCATACAATGAAAGATTAAAAATATAACCAAGAAACTCGAACAAAGATATATACAAACAAATCTGATCGCATCGACTAACGAACCACAAAAGGAAATCAAACTATTAAAAGACCACCGAAAAACCACAAATCAGACTCAAACAACGTGAAAAACTATCCACAAACGCAAATCGTGTATCCAAATCCAATACGAGCGTCCAAAGCAAGGAAGATCACAAGATATCAGATAAACGTCAACTTGATCAGTTGTGGAGATGTCAAATCAACCCTTAAAAAAATAAATGAAAAAATAATCAAATAATCGAAAAACATGCCAAAAAACAGATTTATTGAAAAAAAAAAATAAAAGAAAATAGAGATGCATTATAAGAAAAAAAAATGATAATAAAAATAGCGACAGTCAACATTCAACAATAAAATTGACACTGCTGCCGATCAACCAATAAGATATCTAAGTCGATTATTACTTGTTCTTAATTAGCATTAAATAAATAACTAAAGATAGATAACAAATAATTGTAGAGAAAAACAAAAAAACTCATTACCAATATATCATATAACTAACCCATGTATTCATTGAAGATTTAAATTTGATTATTTTTTATTAAAAAAATCAAATTCTGAACACTGAAATAAAATACTTGGTACAAAAAACAGAAAACAAACTTAACCATGAATTATTTTACGAATGTTAATACAATATTAAAATTGTTTCTAATTTAAATCTCTAAATAAGAACTAATTGGATGTCAAATCTAATATTAAAAAATTAAAAGAAAAGAACAATCAAACGATCGATAAAAAAATTAAAATATATAAATAAAACGTGCTATATAAGTAGAGAAATACGTTTCATAAAAGCGGAATTATTGAAAACTAAAATATAAAAAAAGTGAAGAGTTATTGATCATACTTCTTATTGTGTTATCTTTTATCATCTATTTTCTATCTTTTAGTTTTTATCTAATTTTGTTTATGTGTTATTTTATTTAATAAAATTTTCTTTTTATAATAAAAATATGGATATTTTTGTTCTCGTGGTATATTTTTTTTCACTCTTGCAAAATATTTTTATTATTTTTAAGATTGGATTTAATATTATCTCTGAAATTAGCATTTATTTGATTATTTTATTGATTTACTTATAATTTAGATTATCATATTGATTCTATCGTATTGAAAAATACTCAAAATCATACTAGATAGATTAAGTTTGAGTTGTGATAAAATCAATTTTTAACATATCATTATTATATTCATTGTATTGACGGTATTTATCATTTAGAGATAATTTTGGTGGTTATTTAAACCTTAGTATATTTTTTTTTCAAGTTGTTTAGTTGAAATTTTAACTATTTTATATTTTACATCACATGAATAAAGAAGAATAAATATATATTTTAGTATATGAATTTACCTTTAATTTCTTGGTTTTTGTTTAATATTTTGGTTTAATTAAACATTTTAATTTGATTTTTATTTAAATTAACACCAAATTAATTTCCTTAGTACATGAATTCATTTGAGAGTTATAATTTTAATTCAATTAATCATTAAATTTAAAATTTATAAAATTTTAAAATTAATTGAATTTGTTTAAATCCACTCAAACCTAACGAATTTACACTGAAATAATTAAATTTCGATCTAAATAAGAAAATAAAGGTCAAAACGACCTAACACAGCCCGGCCTATGATCAACGCCGCCAGTAGACATTTTGAAGGAGAGAAGTCTTGGCCCTAATCTCTCTAACCATTATTGTTAATTTATTTATTAAGACAACTTCTGCTTGGATCGGACAAATAAAATCGAAAGAGAAAGGGGAAAAATAAAAATTAGTTCGGGTAATAATGCACAAGCATCTTACCAAGGTTTACTATTTTGTTCCCTTAGATTGAGAGATACAAGTCAAGGGGCTCTGTTTTTTGATAGATGGGTATCATCTCAAATCTTAGTAGACCGGGCTTGCCCTCCTCCCATACTTCCCCACCCTCTTCTTCTTCTTCTCCTTCAGCTTCCAACAAAAGGAAATGCTCAATCTTGATGCCTTCAGTTGTGGCCCTTGTGGTCATAGCTGAAATCTCGTTTCTGGGTCGTCTTGACATGGCCAAAAACGCTGCCTTTTTCGATTCATTGCCTGAGATGTTCTACAAATCACACTCTCCTGGTGGATTTGATGGTGAAAAGTTCGCTATTGAAGCTTTGGGTGGGGGTCAGAACTTGGTCAAGGAGAGCTGTGAGGAGTGGCTTGAAAGAGAAGATGCCTTGACTTATTCAAGAGATTTTGCCAAGGATCCCATCTGGGTTTCTGGTGCTGACCAGGTTTTTTTTTTCTTTTTCCGAGGCAAAATGATAATAATAATGTGCTGTTTCAATTTTGAACCTTCAGTTTTTGAGATTTTGAATTTCTCATATTGATTTGTCCGTGAATGTGTGAGGTTATTGGTAATGGTCGTTTGCAGAATTTGACACAAACTCGACAGAAACATATATATATATATATTCCCTCCATTTCCCCCCTTATCTATAATATAAGAGATGCTAGTCCATTCTAATTTTTTTTTTTTGCATATTATTAATATTCATGGCTTCAGTGTTGTGTATAAGTGGAGTTTCTTAGTTGGCTTTGGGAGAGTTTAGTAAACCGGCTAAGTGGTTTTAGGTTCAATTATGTTTCGTTGTGTGTTGCTAACTTACTCTTCATCGTATGTAGGAGTGGAAAACTTGTGATGTGAGTTGTACGTTTGGATTTGATTCCGGTAAGAAACCTGATGCTGCCTTTGGTTTGCCTCAACAACCTGGAGTAGCTAGTGTACTGCGCTCAATGGAATCGGCTTCGTACTATTTCGAGAATAATATTGCTCAGGCACGACGGTGGGTAAGCTCAATCCATTATGACTTGGTTGCATTTGAAACAAAGATTTTGCCCTCATTATTTTGGGACTTTTATGATGCTCTGTTAAGTACTTTATTTCGTGGACGTGTAGTAGTTTTCAGGTAGGGGTCTTAGAATAAATTTGTTTTAGGAAAAGTAGAAGTTGTGCTCGGTAGGACTTAATTTGCTCTCTTTAGGGTATGCTTGGATAAGGGATTACAAGGTTGGATTTATTTCTAGAAAGATTTTCAAAATTATAAGGTGCAATTCTATTATTTGGAAAAACAAGAATTAGAATTTTCAAACAAATTCTCTCTGTAGGAGTGGAATTTGTGAAATTTCTTTACTTTTATTAAGAGATTACATTTTTTCCCCTTTCCTATGTGATTATTATTATCTTTTCTGTTCTGATTATAGAATTCATTTCAAAACATAATCTTTTAATTTTTCTTAATGCGACTAGATATTTGTTCTTTTTTACAAATCTAATGACATCCCTATTACAAATTTGCTTAATTTATTTTTAAAAATATTATTTCTAAATTATAATTATTTTATCAAATTCCAATCTTGAAATTCTGTTTCTAATTTTTTTAATCCAAATATGCTAATAAGGGTAGACCCTCTAATTGAACAAAACCATACCACTGTGGCTTCTACTAATCTCACTTTATTATTTTATTCATTAACTCCAGAATTCATCCAACAGTCCATTTTTTCTTTTACATATGATATTAAAAACCTTAAACTCTATATCGGAAAATTCTGAATGCTGGTAAGAAGTTTGGAGAGATTTAATCAATGGGGCTGATAAATGAGAATAAATTCGTGTAGGTCCACAATCCCTATTAGTTTCAACTGTTAGTAATAGGAATGAAGAATGGTGTGGTAGGGATCATTTATCTAATAAAATGACCTTTTATTCAACTACAATGATGATTGATGGATGTGGGATCATCGAACAAATGCCAATCACTCTTGAGAAGGCCATCTTTCCCGAATTTTATCCTGACTGCAAACGTTCTTTTTTTTTTTTCTATTTAGCTTCCTCTATTCAGGAGGAGAAGTATTGTTGTGGGGCAAGTCGAATTTGTCCAATATCGTGAAAAGAGATCCAATTCTTCGTCTACGAGTCCTAAGATTTCAGTCTCCCTTTGGTGAGCTGAAAGTTCTGTCTTCATTTGATGAGTTGAACTATCAATCACAATAAAATTCACAATATTTTCTTAACAAGCTATTGCCTACATTTTCGAGAATCTAGGATGCTCATGGACATGGCTATTTTTTTTTGATAGGAATATTAGGCTTCATTAAAAACCCCCTTCATGATTAATGGAACTCTGAAAAAGTTCCTTAATCAACGGAAGGAGGAAAAGAGTGCCTTGGAATTTATTAATAATAAACTTAATACAATATATTACAAAAACCTAAAACTCCTTGAAGGAAATCGAAAACCTAAATAGTTACAACCTTAAAAACAACATAAATATTAACCAATTCCAGCCTTAGCTAGAGCGTCCGCCTCTAGATTAGTTGCCCTATTAACCCATCTAATAACACCTTAACACAGTCTAAGTTTTTCAATAATATCTTTAACAATGTAAGCATAAACAACAAGACATGAAACGAAATCCCTAACCCAGTCAACTGCCACCCTGCAGTCACTCTCAATTATCAACCGATCCTTTAATCTGTGTCGTATAGTGTGAAAGAAAGATAAGCCCTTTAGGATAGATTTCAATTCCATCATAGTAGGAGGACCAGGACCTGCGGATTCCTTGTAAGAGTCAATGATTGTCCCGTTATCATCTCTCAAAACACCACCTATCCCACTTCTCTTCCAGTCAGTAGTAGTAGCAGCATCGACATTTAATTTGATGAAGCCCTTTGGGGGAGGGGACCAATTAATCACAGTTGCAATCAGTTTGGAGCTAGGAGAACATGAATCCCCTAAGGAAGGATCTGAAATAAGCAAATCCTTAGAGATCGAAACCTGTTTGTACTTAGCTAAGTACCATGAAGCTAGCCTGAATCTAGCTAAAAAGAAGAGTTCTGCTTGATCTACCTTTCCTCCTTCAAAAACAATATAATTTCTGAATTTCCAAATTGTCCATAGGACAACCCCTGGAATAAATGACCATATGGTTGAATTAATCCTCAAATCAGCCCTTGCTAGGAGAAATATTTTTGCATCAACATGAAAGACAGATTGAATGTTCCAGAACCTAATGAATTTATTCCAAATGCTCCAAACCACTGAACAAGTAAAAAATAAATGGGAGGGTGTCTCATCAAACTGCTTGCAAAAAGGACACAACAAGTCATCTATACCCATCATACCTCTTTTAACAAGAGCTGACTTCACTGCCAACTTCTGTAGAACAACTTGCCATACAAATGTCTCCACTCTTGGAGGCAGTAATCCACTCCAAACAACATTCTTCCAGAAATTAACATCTGATGAACTTGAGGTCCCTGAATAACACTGACTAACACAAGATTTCACAGTAAATACCCCATCTCCAGTGCCTTTCCAGACCAGTACGTCAGATGAATCAACCGAAAGGGAAATATTTGAAATAATTGTCATCAAATTAGACCACTGCTCATATTCCCAATCATTCAATTCCCTTCTTAAATGTATATCCCAAACCCAGCTGCCTGAGCTAAAATCACCAAACTCAGATAATTTTCCAGTTTTGTTTAAGGAAATGGAAAACAATCTCGGAAAAATGATCTTTAATGGTTGATCCATTGCCCAAACATCTTGCCAAAATCGAATGCTATCCCCATCGCCAACTTGAACAGAATAATTGCTTCTAATTTTACAGCCAGTAGGGTCTATTCTGTAATGATTGTTCACCACGGATCTCCAAATCCATGAAAATTTGGGTGTAACCTTATTGTCAAATAGCAGTAAAGAAGAGTCTAAATTGTATTTAGAACAAATCAATCTCCTCCATTCCGCATTTCTTTCATTAGCAAACCTCCAAGACCATTTTTCTAATAAAGCTCTGTTTACCTTGTCAATGTTTGGAACCCCCAATCCACCTTCGAATTTCGGTTTGCACACATTGGGCCAACCCACCCAATGAATCTTGTTCTGACCATTTCCTCCGCCCCATAAGAAGTTGTACATGATCGAATTGATTGACTTGTACACCGAAGCCGAAACTTTAAACAATGACAAATAGTATGTAGGAAGCGAGCATAAGACTGAATTAATTAAAACTAACCTCCCTGCCATAGAAAGAGAGGATGCCTTCCAACCTGCCAACTTCTTGTTGAAACTATGAACCACTGGATCCCATAGGGCAGAAGAATTTCTTTGTGCTCCCAGAGGTAGTCCTTAGTATTCTGAAGGAAAGCTATTAGTGTGTCCTTATGTTTTCCATAATATGTAGCACATACTTCTAATGTGTTTATATAATTGATAAAAGTCTGAGTTCTGCACCAAAAAACATTCAGTAAATTTTCTAGCTTCCTTTTGTAATCAAGCTGCAACACTTCTGAAAATGTTGGACATACGTGAACTCGACTATTGCCCCCCCCCTTTTTTTTCCCTGGGGAAATTTTTTGGAGTATGCCAATTGTTTCACTGGATAAGTGTTCCTACATAGCTAGACTTAAAGTGGATTCTAGCTAATGGGGAAGTTTCTGTAATATTAATTGTTTTATTTTGTTTTCCTTTTAAATTAGGGGGGGTTATGATATTGTAATGACAACTAGCCTCTCATCGGATGTTCCTGTTGGATATTTTTCTTGGGCTGAGTATGATATCATGGCACCAGTGATGCCAAAGACTGAAAAGGCCCATGCAGCTGCTTTCATTTCCAACTGTGGTGCCCGCAACTTTCGTCTGGAAGCACTTGTCGGACTTGAAAAGGCAAATATCAAGATAGATTCTTATGGTAGTTGCCATAGAAATCGTAATGGAAATGGTGAGTTTTTGTTTTCTTATGCTTTTTTATATTTAAACCAAGCATATATGGACATAAGCTCTGATATTAAACTGTTAAATGTTGTAGTTCCTAATTTGGGGAAACAGTTCAAGTCAAACCGGAATGGCTGAGAAAAATGCTGAGTTGGCTAGGGTTGTATGACTTGTAAATATTTTTTAATATCTCTCTATTTTTGAGAAACCATAATTATTATAAACATTGTGAACTGAGGAGTTTCGGGTTGATTTACTTGGGTAAGAATAAGAAATGCCGAAGGTTCCACCTGAGGGGTAGAGAACCGTTAACCTCAGACATGCAGGAAGTAATTAACTAAAAGAAATCATAGACATGAATCAGTTGTGGTTTACCGATATCATTAGTAATATTCTATGCATACATTCAGCACTGTACACATGCTGTATCTGTAGCTATACGTATTAGTTGCTTTGGACATCAATGCTAGCTTGTTATTTTAATTCGTATACATAAGTTATAGGCCCTTCAGCAAAAGATTCTGGATGTGTTTTTTTTTGGTCAAATGAGATGCTTAAAAAGTGGATTGGGGCTCAAATTTCGTCAACTAGTTGCTTGAAGTAGTTAACAAGTATATTGCATGCAAATTTTGCAGTGGACAAAGTTGAAGCTCTGAAACGCTACAAGTTTAGTTTGGCTTTTGAGAACTCCAACGAGGAGGATTACGTGACCGAAAAGTTTTTTCAGTCTCTTGTTGCAGGTATGAACATTACTTCTAATGGCACTTTAAACATCATACCCTGGTTTTGGAATAAAAATCCAGAAATAAGTTCTACCAAAAATTGGAAACTGTTCTGACAAAATTTGGAAGATTTGGATCCAGAAAATTGCGGTCCAGGTGGCAAGGAATTCATATGTGTTTTCATTTGGGATCTGAATGTTTCAACTCCACTGTTTTTGGTTTCACCATTTGATCAATGGAACCGGTAAAATTTTATAGGGACCATACCTGTTGTGGTTGGCGCTCCAAATATCGAAGACTTTGCACCGTCTCCAGATTCATTTTTACATATCAAGGAATTGGAGGATGTTCCATCAGTTGCCAACAGAATCAAGTACCTCTCAAAGAACCCGGTTGCTTATAATCAGTCACTCAGGTGTGTGGTATGCTAATTTATCAGAAAGATTTTTCTCATTGTTGACTAGTTAAACACACCCCTCTCCCCTTCTTATAACGTTTGTTGACGGTTTGAGTTCAATATTGGTTCTTCGTTTAGAATCTTGTTGACAATGCAATATGCATTATTTAGGTGGAAGTACGAAGGACCGTCTGATTCTTTCAAGGCCCTCGTGGATATGGCTGCGGTTCATTCGTCATGCCGTCTTTGCATTCATTTGGCAACAATCATCCAAGAGAAAGAAGAAAAGAGCTCCATCTTCAAGAAACGTCCTTGCAAGTGTACAAGAGGTTCAGAAACCGTTTATCATATATATGTAAGAGAGAGAGGGAGGTTTAAGATGGATTCTATTTTCTTGAGGTAGCCACCTTACACTTTGATCCTTTTTTACCACATTCTTATTGATCCTTTTTTATCCGGACCCAGTTTAATTTTCTTCAATGGGAAAGTAGTTAAAATCTTCTAGGTGTTAGATTCTTAAGCATGAGCCAAGTTGTCAATGTGTTGATAGGTAGTAATTCGATCTCCACAAATGTGGAGGTTAATTTTACTGTTTTTTTAAGTAGAAACTGGAGGAAAATCCTTAATATCTGACATTGATGATCAGGTCTGGCAATTTGACTCTTGAGGCCTTGGAGGCTGCAGCGCTTACAAAGTTCAAGTCTCTGAAACACATGCCGGTTTGGAAGCCGGAGAGACCCGAAAGCATAAGAGGAGGAGATGAACTAAAAGTATACAGAATATATCCTGTTGGCTTGACACAGAGACAAGCTTTATATTCCTTCAAGTTCAAAGGGGATTCTGATATCCGGAGTCACATTGAAAACAACCCTTGTCCAAAGTTTGAAGTCATATTTGTCTAGATTGAAGGTCCCATATTCTCACTTTACAGAATCCCGGGTTTCCGCACTTTTCTTGCGGAAAATATTTCCCGGAAGATCAAGGCAACCTCATGCAGACTTAAATTACATGCTCTTGTAAGAATATCACACACACACACACACACACACACACACACACACACATATGGAATCATTGATGAGCTGATAGGGTGGGGATGGGTACAGTTTTACCTATGGCTCAGTTAGTTTTTGGCTCCACTTTGCATCTGATCCGACCCTTGGAAGTTTTGCTTCGGAACTTCAAAGCATTAATGAAAATATTGGATAGTTGAGTTTGATTTAGGTATGTTGAAGAATCATTGTGTATAAGTTGCCCGGGAATCTCTCCCTATTGTGAATGCTTATGATCTGTGCATGTTTGTTTTAGTGAAGTGGGAGGAGCCACCAAGTCGGCCATAGTTTCGACCACCGTTGGTCGCCATTCTAACCGCCAAGCAAGAAGAGAAGAAAAATGGGCTCTCAAGGATCCCATTACATTCCCACTGTCCATCATCTCAAGTCCTCTCTCTACCACCTATGGTACCTTCACCCTAATTGCCATCAATTTTCGTCATCTTCACCTTAAATACACTCACATAAATCACCATATTCATACCCGGTGTCATACTGCCATATTACCATAAACCCAAATAACCTCCAAAATCACCATTTCCTTTAACAAAGAAATAAGTGACACAGATCCTATCATTATCACCCATAGCAACCAAGTGAAGCCCCACCTCTCGGTCAACAAAGCTTTCGACCCTCTTCATACGTCCAACACAACCATCATCATCCCGAAGCCACCAAAACACTCCAATTTGAAAACCTTTTCCTTAGACTTTCTCTAATTCAAACAACCAAACCCAAACAAAGAATAATAACAACAAAAAATGAAAAAAAAGAGAGAAGGAAGAAGACTATCCACATTCGGCTAGAGATAGTCATCAACGCTCAAAGGGTTGTCTTTTAGATCCGGACGGCGAGGAGACGCTCAATGACAAGGGGATTATCATACTTCCGTTTGAGCTCAATCTGACGGTGAACGGAGGAAATTGGAGGTCAAATATTAAAAAAAGTCTCCATCCAAGTTCGTGGGGTTGAACCAGATAAAAATGAAAATAGAAAAAGAGAGGATGCCTCTACGATTCCTATCATTTCTTCATCATGAATCCTTCTATCCTTATCCTATGCCCAATTTCTCATTGTCATTTCATATGTGGTCTGCCCTCATCAAAGCTTCATTTTGAAAGGAGCATAACAAAGTCTTGTTTGACGTGAATTTCTAAAATCATTTTTAGGTAAAAAAAATTGTTTCAATTGCAAAATTATTGTCAAACGGGTAAAAATAAAAAAAAATTACGGTAGAAACAATTGTTTTAGGGCACAAAGCTAATTTTTTAGCTTTTTCAATTTCAACTTTGCATGTAGAAACAAATTATAATTTTATCCTTACTAATGCATGAGCTCCACTTAATTATGAATTGCATTTTATTTTAATATTTTGATACTATCATCCTTAAAAAATAATTTATTACTTAATAATTTATTTTAATTACTAATGATTTTTTGTAATATTCTTTTTGACAAAACAAGTATTTAAATTATTATTTTTATAATAATTTTATATTCACATGTTAAAAAGTATTGATAATATATTTTTTCTTAATAAAAGATTTCATATATAAAAATATTATTAATGAGTTATCTTAAAATATTTTTATTATAGTTTAAATTGAAAATATTTTATATATCATAATATTAATAAGTGCAAATATAATTTAAATGCTATATTTTAAATTTACAACATAATGTTATATGAACATTTTATCTTTTCAAACTCACTTTTTAACAACAATCCCAAACAATTAAATTTTAAACTGTATTTTCTCACCACTCTTAAAAGTTTGTTTTTACAACACTTTTAAAAGTAACTTTTAAAAAGCTGCGCGAAACTGACCAAAGAATATATGAGTGAAAAATATAAAAATATAATATTAATAAAATATTAATGAATGCCTATGTGGTAGTTAAAAATAAAGTAATAAAAATATCATTTTATCACACAATTAAAGAGAAAAAGGTCAAGTGATTAAAGAATTGAATATATAAAATTTAATGATTAAATTGAAAATGTTTAAAGTAAAGTAACTAAAATAGGAGTGACAAGAAAGATTAGCTGTTCATTGTGTAATGTACGCATAAAATAAATAATAAGTAATCCATGGTGGTGGTTAAATAAAGCGCGCGAGATCTTAACCTCCACCGCGTCAGTCTCTCTCATTTCCTTCTAAACATTTGTTAAAACCAAAATATTACCTTTTCATTTTCGCGTTGCATAAACCAAGGGTTCAATTTCTTTTAGCATTTGTTTTATTCTTATTTTATCTAAAAAAAAGGGGATAGAAGAGAGATCTCTTCAATGATTTGTATTGTTTGCAGGGTGAGATTTTGATGGATGCTGTTTGAAACTGGTGTGCGATCATGGAGTCATGTAACATCTGGTCCACCAATGCCAAGCCAGACGCTTTGCATTTACTCGTTTCGTTTTACTTCGCCCTCTGTTTCCCTGTCGCCAGGTTATTGCTTGACAAACTCATTTTTCGTGTAAGTTTTTCTTTTTTCTTTTGATTCTTTCTTTCTTTCTTTGAATTTTGATTCCTACCTTTGCTTATTGTTTCAAATATTTTATTGCTCTCTTGGTTTTATAATATTTTGTTTGGCATTTATTAAGCTTAATGAAGAATAGGACATTTTATAATCCCAAAGAAATTCATCATAACAACAAAACATGCTACTAATTGGACTAAGTGGTTTTGAGGTGAAGTCAAGGAGAAAAAAATGTTTTACCAGCTTTTCCTATATTTGAAGCAATTTCAATTTTTTTAATATAATTTCTTGCAAATGTACATGGTAATAGACGACGAAGAAGAAATGAATAGCTTTGAATCTTGGTGTGGTTTATTTTAAGAAATTTTAGAATTCTTCTTGCTTTTGCCAGCTTGTAAAAACTGAATTAAGGTGGTTTTGCTTTCCATGTGAAACTACCAAAAAAAAAATCAATTTAAAGTGGCAACTGTAGTGAATGAAAGCCTTGTCACTGGCTTTTATTAGCTAATAGTCAATAAGCATGCTTCCGTGTTATGTTTGTTGTTCTGTAGTCTTGATATTTGAAATTTCTCCACTTAGTAGTTTCATTTCATAACTACTATAACATTCAAGTGCAAGTGCAAAATATAAACGATGTATAGAAAACACTATCTTTTGTTAATACAACATTTCAATTTTTATTGATGTTCCTTTAGAGGTTGTCTGTCTGGTTATTGCGTGGATCTGCTCCTTTGAGGATGGATATTAAGGCTACACAGGCAATAATTGCAAAATGCTCAGAATCTATGTGGAAGCTGACATACTTTACCACTGTTGAAACCTGGGTCCTCAAAATCACCTACTACGAGTCATGGCTTGGAGATGAAAAAGGGTACTTTAGGGGTTGGCCAAATCAAGAGTTGAAGTGAGTGAACCTATATACCTTGATACATATCCAAACTGTTGTGTTTACCGATCTCATGTACCACTTTTCCAGATTGTAATTGTCTTTGTCAATAACTGACAGAAAGTTGATGTTCCTCTTCAGTTCTAGTGCTCTATGCTTCTGATCTCTAAATTGACATTTCATGTTCTCTTCTATATGATTATTCTGTAAGAGATAATGGCCAAAGCTATTACTTTTCATTTATTTAGTGATTGAAATGCTTTGAAACTACTCTCCTACCATTAGATGAAGGGATGCATCTGCGCTCAAGTGAAAACAGCTGTTTCTTGTCTTATTTTCCTTTTGCCTTAATTCAAGAAAACAATTTTCTTTCCGTTCCTTTAAAAAAATTGTGAACTGTTCATTTTATTTCTCAATTTCCCTTTTTTACTTGAAATTAATTGAAAACAAGTTTGTATAAAGAATGGTACTCTTTCCTGTGCACCCTCTTTGTGAACCTATGGTGAATGTTTGCTCATATTATTGTATTTGAAGCAAATTTGCATCAAATATCTGAGTATTGATGTTGTCACTGTTCTTGTTTTCTGTTTTAGTTCCCTTGACCTCTCATCTAATGATACTAAATTACTAATCTCAACCTTCGCTGCTAGCAGAAAAGCCTAAGTTAAACTTGGACTTGTCATCCGTAGACAAGTTCGATCACTTGCTTTATTGTAATTTCATTTGATCTTTTATTTTGAATTGGAGGTTGTATAAGTGTTCTCATGCCCTCTTTCAGGTGAATATATTATCTATCTGTGAAGTATCATGCCACCTTTCATATGGTTTTCCCTGGATACATAACTCAACATTTAACTTGTGTTCTCTCTTTTGTTCAGGCTTTCCATAAGCCTTTTCTACATGTGCCAATGTGGGTTCTACATCTACAGCATCGTTGCACTCCTTACTTGGGAGACTCGAAGGAAGGATTTTGCAGTGATGATGTCTCATCATGTAATTACTGCTATCCTGATTGGGTACTCGTATGTTATAAGGTAACTTACCCTTTTATGTGGAAGCACATCTATCCTGTTGTTACCATATATAAGAGGCAATTATTCTTTTGGTAATCATTGTTACTTATCTCTTGGCGTCTTTTGGTATCTCATCATTGGACCATTTATCTCTAGATCGTAAAGCGGTTTTAGTATTCTGTTTGTGTTGTTTGTATTTCATTCTTCAAAATATTATTGTTTCTTTTAGTCTATACATACTAAAGTGCATTTGCTTTCTGTATGCATATATGGTATCCTAGTTAAATGTGCTACACCATTTGCAGTTCTTTGAATTTACTTTCAGCAAGCCTCTATAAGCAACACGCCACTGTATAATCTGATGGTTTTAAAAGTTGTAATTTATTGATGTCCTTTGGATCATTTATAGTTTTTTGCTGAAAATTAACCTGGAAGTTCTGCTAACTGATATTTGAAGAAGAAAGTTTATGCCTTCTTTCAAACATCATAATTGAGGATATTAATAGAACTCTTGTGAGGGAAGAACATAGTATTTAAGGATTTTAAACTTTTCCTTATAATTCTTGGTTTGATAAATTCTATGAACTTATAGATATCCAAGCATGAAGAAGATTATAATTGGCTTGTTTACAGCTTTTTCCGCATTGGTTCAATTGTCCTTGCCCTACATGATGCAAGTGATGTGTTTCTGGAAGCAGCTAAAATTTTCAAATATTCGGGAAGGGAGCTCTGTGCTAGCGTGTGCTTTGGATTGTTTGCAATCTCTTGGCTGGTGCTACGTTTAATAATCTTTCCATTTTGGGTCATCAAAAGTTCAAGGTTTGCCTTTATGTTCATGACTTGGTTTTCACTGCATGATCTGCAGACTGACTGATCATTTTGTCTACTATGGTGTGTGTGGCCTCTAACAGCATTGATCTTATGGAGTTCTTACGTCCTTCAGATCCATATCCCAAATTCTTGTACTATTTCCTGAATACTATGTTGTTGATGCTACTTGTGTTCCACGTCTACTGGTGGGTTCTCATATGCTCCATGATCATTAGACAATGGCAAAATAGAGGAAAATTAGGTGAAGACATTAGATCCGGTAAGCATCTTTTATCTATTGTTTTTGTAAATGAAGTTTATTAATTTAAACTAGTAAATATAATGATGTAGAGTTGATTTTAGTGTTTATATGTTTAGGATTGTAACATAAAAATTAGAATCTTGGAATCAGTGACGAACGTTATCCACCTGAAATCCAAATTTATTTTGATAATTTATTTTGCTATGGTGTCCACCAGTTTGATGTTACTTATATTTTTTGAAATGCAGATTCCGAGGATGAGGGTGACTAAACTGAATATGTCATAAAAATTTTGCTCATTGTGGCGCCCATGTCAAGTCGTGAGGAGATTGGTTGTTGTAGGTTTGTCTCTACAAACTCCATTGATTTCAATTTTTGATTGATTCTTTAAAAAAATGGTTGAGTATTTAAACAAATACTATTTTGTACTCGTATAAACATAAAGTTGCATGGAGTATTGTTTTTTATGCGTTATACTCGGTGTTTGAAGTAATATAATTAAATAAAATTTTGTATTATTAAATTAAGATAATATAAAAAAATTTCATGTATTTTGGTTAAATGTGTAATGTGATATATAAATTTTAATTTGTACCAACAATCAGTTAATTTATTAAGATAAAACATTATATTTAGGGATGGGCATGGGTCGACTCGGGTCAAATTTTTGGCCAACCAAATCCGACCCGAATACTATACTCCTTCACCTGAAACCCGAACTGAACCGACTTTGGAAAGATTTCACTAACTTAAACTCGATTCAATTTTTAAAGCAGAATTCAACCCAGCCAGATCTGACCATCAAGAATCCTCCCTAAAATCACGTAAAATCCAACAATTAGGATTAGGGTTCATTCAAAATAAAATAAACAAAAAAATCAACCGATTTAAATCAAAAGAAATTTAGTGTTTAAAAACTCATTCCTATATATTTATCAATTTAAAATAAAATATAACTATTTTATACTCTAAAAAAAGTCATAAATTATTAAATTTTGCAGCTACCATTCTTGACTGAATCAATATATTTGAATTTGAAATTCAAGACTTTAATTTCTAAGTTTTAGAATTTCGAACTCAATGATAAAATATTAAAAAAATAGAAGAAATAAAAAAACAAAGGAAGATGAAATAAAAGAAAAGAAATACATAAAAAAGGATAGTATTTTAGACAATGGAAACCGCTGGACACTCTAATTTACTTTTCTGAGAAACCAAACATGAAACTGAAAGATACTTGCAGGTTGAGAAAATCGCCACGAGAAACGAGGAAATTCCAACCGAGGAATACAAATCGACATAATTTTGAACTTGTTTGTCGTGAATGGAAACCCAAACAAACATCACAGCTATTCCTTTATCTTCTTTGCTGTCTTCTTTCCTTCCCCAATACACACTTCCGCCGCCCATCATGGTATTATGCAAATCCAATTCTCAGGCAACTTAAGAACCATTGTGAATTTGTCATAACGAAGGAGGGGAGATGCCATCTGCCACGTTGGATAATACGCACCCTCAGGCCCCACCACCACGCATTTTGAGGATAATTTTGATTTTAAGTTTAGTGTAAAGTATAATAATGATCACTGAACTTTTTAAATTTATATTTAGTTCTCAACTTTTAAAACTTATAATACAGTTATCCAACATTTAGTCTGTTTGCAATATGGTCCCCCGACGTTACACTGCCGTTTGTACGTTTGCAATATGGTCACTGAACTTTTCAGGCGCTTGTATTTAGGTCCCCTAACTTTTAAAACTTGCAACACATACCCCAATTTTATTATAAACCCTAAATTCCAAAATAATTCAATTATATTTTAAACCCTAAATTCTAAAATACTTTAATTTAGGGTTTAGAATGTAATTAAAATATTTTGGAATTTGGGGTTTAGAATGTAATTGAAGTATTTTGGAATTTTGAACATGAATTTGTTATTTGACAATGTTTACTTCAATATAAATTTGAGGTTTATTGCATGCACATCCAACGGTTGTCGCACTTTGAATATGAAAAGTGCACCTATCACGTTTATTGCATAAACCATTGAAGTAAAAGTAACAAGGCCAATGTCTTGTTCATAGCTGTCGCACTTTGGTATGACAATCTAATAGGTTTGGATGGAACTTGAGTATGCACATCCAATGGTTGCGAAAATAGTAAAGAGTTTTAGTTCATATGACTACAACATACATCCAAACAATAACTAAAATAAACCAAGAATATCAATTAATAACTCATTCAAAAGGAGGACTTAATAAATAAAGGGAAAGAGGTTCGGTCATAGTCACTCCAAAAGCTAAGGCGTCAAATGGGTTGTTTAAGATAGACATTAGATGCCAAATACAACGTTACCAGTTGCAAATGCATTAATGACCTGCCCTTTTAACATATAATTGCTTCTAATGCTCCATGTTTAATGTTCCTCAATAGCCAAACATGATGAGAATCTAAATCAGATAGCGGAACTAAAATCATAGGACCCCATAATTCTTGTAAATTTATGGCATGTCAGCAATAAAAGACATTGTAAAACATAGAGGACGTTGCAACAAACATATATATGCCAGAAATGAAGGTGCAAATGTGCAATGACCGGGCAACATATCAAGTAACTGCTCCAAATATACTACCCTGTCATGATGCCTTTTGAGTTGCGTGCATGCATAGTTGTCTTCTAAGCTATAATTCAATACAGATTCAACTGTAAAATTTTCAAAACATGTAAAAAAATCCAATTTGTTCACGATATATCAGTCTCATAATCAACATGAACTTATTAAAAAGAATACGAGCTCACAGACGCCGAAAACCACAGGTCGGATCAATACAATTCCCAATAAACTAGTACCAACAGTCTCTCGGATTGAGCCTGGCGATTTCACTATATCGATACTCACAACCAATTCCTGATTTAAAGAAAAACCAAACAAAACAACAACAATAAAACCCTATTCCCATATACAATGGGGTAAGGGAGAGGTAGGGTAGTAGGCTGCCCCCAACGCCAAGTTGAGAGCAGCTTCATTGGAAGACCTCCGACAGTCAAAAAATTAAAATATAGATAAAATGAAATGCATGTATAAATAAAATAAATACATAGTTGAACAGTCTTCATATGCAGTCATCATATGCGCGTCTGTAATGGGAAGTAATCCCTGCAAATAAATCTCTACGTAAAAATCTCTGCATGTAGATAGAAACGTAAGACCCGTCTAAATTTAAAGGAGGAAACATGAAGAGAAGGATACACAGAAGTCAACGATAGCAAGCTACGAGAAGGAACAAAGCCAAATGGGTTAAAACCTCTACTAAGGCAACCCTACTCTGCTACCCTAGTTCTAAGCCTTCATAAATTCCAATGTCAGAAACGTATAAAAAGTAGAAGTCATGGAAATTACTACAAAGGCATTAAAAGAAGACATATATGATACACCCTATGGATGTGACCTGCACTACTCGGCTACCCTGGTCTTAAGTCTCCATACTTTCTTATCAGAGGTCATGTCTTCGGTAAAGACTAATCCATCAAATCAGAACTCAAACAGTCTTCCCACTTCCGCCTTGGTCATCCTCTCCTTCTGGCACCGTCAACTGTAATCGACTCTACCTTCCTGACCGCATCCGATGGTTGTCGCCTAAGGACATGCCCAAACCACCGTAGTCTTCATTCCTTCAATTTTTCGGATACATGCACCACCCCCAAGGACATCCTAATAGCAGAGTTTGGTGTCATGTCCCACAGAGTCCTACCACATACCCATCGAAGTATATTCATTTATGCGGCCTCCATCATCCTTACGTGATACTTCTTGATTGCCAAACATTCTATCCATACAACAGCGCTGGTCTTATTGGCATTTATAAAATTTTCCCTTAAGTTTTAGAGGCACCTTTTGTCACAAAAAACTCCAGTAGCAGCCCTCCACTTTAGCCATCCCGCTTTATACGGTGTGTAACGTCATCATCTACACCCCCATCTTTATGTATCATACCCTAGGTACTTGAAATAATCCTTTGAGAGGAGAACGTGTCATTCTATGCATACTTCTACATCTTCATTGTTTTGGTTCCCACTGAAGTTTGAACATAAATACTCTGTTGTTTCAATATTGATCCTTAGACCTTTTTCTTCCAAAGCAGTCTTCCAGGTAGCCAGTCTACTATTCAGCTCAGTTTTTGTTTCTGCAACTAGGACCCTTTTTCACTTCTATTATGATGGAATGAATATCTTTTATAAGGAGTACTAAAAGTTTTGATTAAGAAGAAAGAAAGAAAATTAGATGGTTTTGGTTCAAAACTAACACTGAATATCCAGATCCTTGACATGCAGTTTCAGAAAAATAAAAATTTCAACAAAAAACACACAATGCGAGATGAAAATGGGAAAGTGCGAAAGACGAAAAACTTACTTCTAGATAGCCCAAAAGAGAAAATAAATACCTTCTTGCAAGTAAGGGAAGAGGCTAAGAAATAAACGCAATCGGTGTTGCATTCCAGTAATTCTTCCTCCATTTTTTCTTTGTAAATAAAAAGCTGAAAGAAAGAGCACTACTTGACTTTACAATTTTACATGGCGGAAAACTGAAGAACAAAAACCAAAAGAAAGTGCATGTGAGCGAAAAAGACTGAGAGGTGAAGGCACTGTTTGGGATTTCATTATATTTGACCATCTGTTGAAAAATCTTTAACCACAAGGATTAAACGAATAAATTATTATATGTTATTTATACAAAATAATTCCAGCACTTTCAACAATGATACTTAGTTCATCTTAGTAGTATTTGTCAACTCTATTTCTAACCCCATTTTTTCTCACAAGCATTTCATCGAACATCTATGCTTCACCTGAGATGACCTGTATCTAACATTACACCTTGAATCGTTGATGGTCCCGATAGTCCCTTGGTCGGGTCTTCTCTCAATGAACCCTTATTCAAGTCAACACCTCCACAAAATTCAAAGTAAGATTAGAATTTCCAATGTATCTCCGACTGAAAAGTTACGCTGAAATGAGAAGAGAGAAGCGAAAAAGGAAATTCCAGATCGAAAAGGAATTTAGGGTTTAAAATAAAATTGAGGAATATGATGCAAGTTTTAAAAGTTGGGGGACCTAAATGCAGGCGCCTGAAAAGTTCAATGACCATATTGCAAACGTACTTGCAAATGAACTAAATGTTGGAGGACTATATTGCAAGCTTTAGAAAAGTTCAGTGATCATTACTATACTTTACCCTAAACTTAATTATGTACACATCAACTCAAATTTCAAGTCAAATTATTATTAAGGTAAAATACACCGTTTCCCAATAAATTTTACTATTTCTCTTA